TTTTTTTTATATATATATATATATATATATATATATATATATATATATATATATATATATATATATGTATGTGTGTGTGTTTAGATAGTTAAAACATTATATATTTTAATATATAATTAAAAAGTAATTTATTCCTGTAATGGCAAAGCTGAATTTTCAACAGATTATTATTATTATTATCATCATCATTGTTATTATCATTGTTATTATTATTATTATTATTATTATTATTATTATTATTATCAGTGTTGAAATCACTGCTTAATGTATTTGTGGAACGTGTGATGTTTTTTTCTGTATTTTTTGATACACAGAAAATTCTAAAGAACAGCATTTATTTGAGACAAATCTTTTGTAGCATTATACATGTATTTATTTATTTATTTATTAGTACTGTAGTGACTCTAAACATATCCGTTTTGTTGCCAAATTGAATATTGAGTGGCATGTAGGGATTTTGTTTATTTTTTTTTGTGAGAAAAATTCACTGAAAATCTTCATCTCAAATCTTTCACATTACTATCAGTTCAGACTAGAGGTCTGCTACCCGACCCGAGCCCGACGGGTCCCGAAATACTTTCGGGTTTCAGGTCGGGTTTGGGTTAATGTTTAATGGATAGCTTCGGGTTCGGGTCGGGCTCGGGTTTATAGCTAAACTAAAACTATATGCAGACTAGGTACGCTGCTTTCATAGACCCACGCACACACATTATTGCACACGACAACACAGCATGGAAACTTTTATTAGTAAAATAGCTTCGACAGGCTAGGCTACTGACTCGCAACATTATATTTCTCTGCAATGAGGGGGGAAAATTGCTGTTTTTAAAGGAACTAAGCCTCATTGCTTGTAGAGAGAGACGTGCAGACGCAGGTTCACACACACAACTTTTATCCCTCTCTCTCTCTCTCTCTCTCACTCTCTCACTCGCGACCGCGCTAATTCAAATAAATAATATAATTAATTAATTTAAATGAATGTGATCTTACTGCACTGCATCTATGTGTCTGATTTAAAGCAGGCCGAATGCTAACGAGCTACAGTAAATGACCATAATTTGCACGATGGAAGAATTGTCGTCTTGTTGTTTACAACCATTCAAAAACTCGGCAGAATTTATGTGACCGCTGCACCTGATGTTCATAAACTTTCATAACTGGTAAGTGTTTTTTCTTTTGCCTTGTGAACTGCCCGAGCCTAATGATTCTGTTTCTTTACATGTATTTGTTTACCGACCGTTGCATGCAATCGTGAAATACAGCATTTTTTAAAATTGGGTATTTGTTGTGGGGGGGGGGTCGGGCTCTAAATTTAACTGTGCCGCTCGGGTTGGGTCGGACGATCTGGGGGGGATTCGGGCCGGATTCGGGCTTCACTTTAAAGCTTGTGCAGACCTCTAGTTCAGACACAAAAGATGCCACGGTGTATCTAAATAAATGTGGATACGAATGAGGTTTGAGCCGGAGGGCAAGATTTTCAGTGAATAACGATAAGTGTTTTTATATGACAGGACGAGTCACTTACAGCAGGTAAGAGAGGACACCGAGGGGTGTTTGAGGTGACTCTGAATCCCTCCATATGAACAGGAATCTGTGTGCTTACATCACCGTAGGGGACAGGAGTGTGTCAGAGAGAGGTTTATGCTGCTGGGAGTCTCTGACACACAGCTTAACCTGAAGGACTCTCACTAGACAGAGACACAACACTGCCTGACTCTGAAGGGTTTGAGTTGAAGTTTTATTTTATTCTTTTTTATTTCAAGAGCGCTGACAAGAGTCAAGATAGTCTACTGTATGTGTCGTACTAAGAGTAAAAACAAAAAAAAAGTACATACAAAAATAATTATTGAATTCTTAAATATACATATATATATAAAATTTGTAAAACCATAAAAAATTATTAATTGCATTTTATCTCAGTATTTGTGAGAAATTAAGAGAGAAAAAAATATATATTAAAGATCATAATATTATATATATATTGCCAGAGTAAAGCAATGAATAAAAAAATAAAAAATAAAAAAAATAAAAAATAAAAAAAAAACAACTCATAAACAAAAAAGTTACTTTAGAAGTCAGTAAAATATTTGTTATGCTGAGAGAAAAAGGAATAAATCGTCTAAAAAAAATAAAAATTATTTCATTATTTACTTCAAACTAAATTTTTTCTTCTGCGGATTACAAAAAAAAAAAAAACATTATTTACTAATGTATGGTGATTTTTTGTTTCATGCAATTCCAATCAATGAGTACTAAAGTTTTCAAGCCTCAAAATCACCACAAAAGCACAGAATGGAACAGAAGACAGATATCCTTTTGTTTTTGTTTTGTTTAATGTCTAGTTATTCTAGATGTTTTTGTAAAACTCCATTTTTTTTTTACTTATCTTAAAAACAACTTTGGTCTTCCATGTACTTCTTTGAATAAATGTAAGGAAGACATGAGTCTTCATGTCATATGTTTAAAAATTGCATCCCAAGTGTCCTATATGGAGAGTCATTTTAGCTGGATAAATAAAATATTTATTTCAAAAATTAATATTCATTAAAATTTTAAAAGTAGTTATTTGTATATAATGTTATTTATATGTATGTTATTTTATTTATATTAAAAAGTCTTGTAAAGAAATACTAATTAAAAATAATTAGTTTCGTTTATTTTTTTCTGAAATGTTCATTTTTATTTTTATTTCTGTTAACAAGAAGGTTTAGTAACACTGTTTCAGGTATTGTTTGCCAACATGGATGCTGTGTTTTAAGAGACTATGTCAAGCATAAAATTGTTTTAAAACGTGTCTTGAGACTCCTGCACTCTGTTCCATTCGCATTCTGTCCAGTTTTTTCAAGAACTGTAAAGTCTGCTTTAGATTTCAAGCTTGAATTTAAGATAACTTTCAAAATGTTGCTAAAAAATAGAAAAATGTTTTCATGTTAGCCTCTGCTAGCCCTGGCTCATCTGATCCACTGACTTGACCGAAATCTTTATTGTTCAGCCCAGAGCGTGCTCATATTTTATTCTAGCAAGGTTACATGTCTGCAGATTGCAGCCAAGGTTTGCGAAAAATTATAAGAGGATGGCCTCATTATTATGAGTGGCTTGCGTTTGTGAATTTCTTGAGGCTGTTTTGTGCATGTGTGTGCTTGTTCGTTTTTTGTTTTGATGTCTGGGAAGAATTTTTTTTTTGATGACCCTGGAAGCCCCACTGAAATACCAGATTCATCATTCCGGTTGTGTTGTGAATCACCATGGAGACATGGAGCGGCTCGATCTCTGTCTCTCTCAGGCATGACTGGAATTAAAGTCGGATAATTCTTACTTTTAAAATCCACTTCTCGGAAGCGACCTTGAAAGGAAAAGTGTGCTGCAGAACAAGGACAGGAAGTGACCGTCCTCATTAGGGTGTCACTCAAACACCGATGATTACAGTACGAGCAGCGCTGTATTTCCAGCCCACACCAGCAAATTAGATAATGACACTGTATTTATATGCACAGCTGCAAAGGTCACTGGGTAATGCAAGCTCCATCTTTGCCTTTATGCTGGTTGAACCTCATGTCCTGAGCATTGACTTCCTTTTATTTGAAAAGATTTAAAGGGATGAGTAATGGACTTCCATCCTTGAAGTGTCACCGAGCAAACGTCAAGTTTGAGGTTGTTAAACGTTTTTAAACGAGGTCTGTTTTGCTTGCCAAGGCTGCATTTGTTTAATATTGTGAAATATTATTACAATTTGAAATAACTGTTTTCTATTTTAATATGTTTTAAAATGTATTTTATTACTGTGACGTAAAGCTGAATTTTCAGCAGCCTTTACTTCAGTCTTTAGTGTCACATGATCCATCAGAAAACCTTCTAATATGCTGATTTCTGCTCAACAAAACATTTCTTACAGTATATCAGTGTTCAAAACAGGTGTGCTGCTGTATATTTTTGTGGAAATATTTTTGTTACATTTTTTTCAGGATTGTTTGATGAATAGGAGGTTTTACTGTCACTTTTGATAAATTTAATATGTCCTTGCTTAATAAAAAATACTATATTCCTCCAAAAAAAAGAAATATTTTGAATGGTAGTGTACATTTCAGTGCCATTTGATGTCATTAATGTAAAACTTGAATAATGTGTCATTTTCAATGAATAATGACTCATTTCAGTGTGTTCTTCACACAAGATATTGAAATACTTAGGCTATATACTTAATAAAGGCAAATAAGGGCTTTTATTTGCCTTTTTGGAGCTTGAGAGCCACTGCAAATGATTATGGTTTGATGTCATAAAATATATAATAAAACCTCTTGAAGCAGTGAAAACAATAGAATTATGTGAAAATGTGATGCATAGAATTAAATATATTAATATATATTACACTAGCTTTGGTCGTTGATGTGCTCTAGGGATGTGTTGATACTAAACATGTTGTCTCTCCCTCAGGGTACGCCTGCCAGTAAAGTGCGCTACAGAGTGGATCAGGATCTGTCTCCGTACAGTGGAAGTATCTTTGATGTGGAGACAGAAACAGGACGAGTTATCACCAAAGTCAACCTGAATGAGCAGCCCAACGCCGTCTTCAGGGTGAGTCTGACCCGACAGGCCGTCCTTCTGCTGTTAAACACTTCACTTGTGTGAAGTTGAGCGGTGGTGCTAATTTGCACACAACTTGAGTTGGAATCCAGGACAGTGTGATTAAAATTAAAGTTTTGATTTAATTCACAAGAGTTTGTAAAGAACAGGATGGAGAATGAAATGGTTTGGATACATCTGTTTTTTGGACATACTAATTTGATTAACAAGTCAAACCTATTCTTTTATGGTAACACGTCAAGGTTTATTTCATTATGCTAATGCATTAGATATCAAGAACTAAAAATGTTCTGAGATGCAGAACATGCAGACAGACACAGACAAATGGCAACAGACAGGCTCATTGGGTTTTGTTGGATCATTGTGTTGCCCCTGTCGGCATCTGTTGCTGTTGGTCTGCACTTGTTTTCACCGATTGAACATGTTGAATTGGTGTTTGTCGGGTCTTGGAATGTCTGAGAAGTGACGTACTGTAATCTGTGTTGTCTGTGTCTGTCGGTACAGTGTGAATTGGCCTTCAGATAATCATAAATGGAAATGGTTCGTCAGATGGCCAACAATAAAATACCATCATGTGACTCATGTAATGTGCCCACATTACGCACATGCATGCCATAGCTATTTGTGTCATACTGTTCTATTAATAAGTCAAAGAAGTATACTGTTGTTACGCAAGACAGCATTGTGCTACTACTTGATACAAAAGCACAAAACAAACTTTAAAATATTTATTCATAGCAGTCAAAGCAAAGCTAAAACTATTTATCAGGACACATGATAGTCAGTAACTTATTAATTGAGGGGCGAGTCATTGGATTTAAATGGTAACAATAGTGTAAGTTTATATCTGTCATGGCATCTCTTTGAGGCTGATGATACACGGGGCAACTTTTTGAGCAATGTTGCCGGGCAACTTTGGGCAGTGTTGCCATCAACAGGCAACCAGGAGAGACACAGGGCCCACGACCGATCTAAAGTATCCAGATAGAAATGTGTTACCCATTCTAAATGGGAAAGTGCCCAAGCAACATTGCTCAAAAAAAGTTGCCTGGCAAAATTGCTCAAAAAGTTGCCCCGTGAATCATCAGCCTGAGAGTTCAGCATGGTAATATACATGGCAGTATTAATGTGTTTGGTCTTGGCAGAATAGATCTTCTACGCTGCTGCTGCAGCAGAGCAAGTACCGAGAATTGCTACTGCCAATACATCCACAGGCATGCTGCTGTGAGCATGTATTGAAATACAGCTACTGCGCATGTAACATACTGTATATGAAATAACCCCCATATATAACATATTTGAAATTCCCCCATAGCAGATCTGTATAGGTGGAGCTGGGGAAGGCGGAGGGTTTTTGAAGTGCACTGCAACTGCTACAGCAAGCACTAGCCAAGTGTTTGGCTGTTGATAAGAAAAGAAACCAATCAGCTATGATTAAATCAGATTGAGTTAAGCCCTATCGGCTTGCGCTGTCTAAAGTTTCATGACAGAACTTTGTGTTTTTACAGCATACTCACAATGAACCTGTGTACACTTTAGTTGCTGTCTCCTCTACTATGACCTGAATCGATATATAAATTAATTAGCCTAACGTTACGTGAACTCAAATCAATTTACCTTTGAGCAAATGTTGGTTTTTCTGTGATAGAATGACTTTGTTTGGGAATGATGGCTGACACAACATTTAATCAATAACATGCACTTCTCAGATTGATAAAAGGACAAATGCAGCATGCATACTTGATGTACAGTATACGTTGTGCCACTATTAAGTACCTGATCAAATATTAGACATGTATGTCTGTCTGTAAAATAATAGATTTGACAGCAAAGTCTTTGTAATGTTTTCCTGTTCATCTTTACAACAAAAAACTAGTTCAATGACAAATAATGATGTCCGAGATTTTGAAAAAGAGAAATCCTTAAATAAAATCGAGTTGAAGACTTGCACCAATTAATTTTGTATTCATGTTGGTTTCAAACATTTCTTTTTAAATGATTGTAGTTTTTTCGAGAAATGAAATTGATTAAATGTACTTTAGAAATGTCCAGTGGTTTGACCATCAAGTGAAAAGCAATGACATATTTTCCTTTTACTTTGAATACAAATGAGTGTCCAACTTTTTCAAACATGTTTTTAAAATGCCATTGAATTTTAAATGAGTATCCGCAAGTTTTCTTGCATTTACATAAAAAAAAAAAACTGAACTAGCCATGCCATGAAAAGGACAAAATATGTGATAAAAAAAACTCTAGCCATTAAGGGGACAGACAAAAGTTTTTCAGTTTATTATATTTTAATACAAAGCTCCACTACATCTTGTTCCTTTTATTAAATAGAAAAATATTAGGCATTGAAATTTAAATTCAGACACAAGTCGCTGTCTGTATGAACTGTTTTAATGTATTTTTCATGACCTCTTCTCATAGCTGGTGGTCATCGCCTATGATGACGGAGAGCCGGTGAAAATGAACAGAACTACAGTGGAAATCACTGTGCTTCAGCCCTCCAGGATTCCCATCTTCACCGAGGAAGAGTACAGGTGGGTCCTGCTGTCTATAGAGAGCGAGAGAACAGACATTTACTTATTTATGCCATGTTCTCTTTGAGCTCTGTGAGTCAGAATTAGTTTAGCACATATTCCCCGCAGGCTGATTCGGAATCTCTGCAAGAGTAATGAGTGTTATCTGTTAATATGTGACTCTCAGCGCTGGGAGGTTGACTCGAGCTGCTCTACCACACTCAAACACTGTTGTTTTCAAAAGGGCACATCTGCAGCTCGTCAGTGTGTTTCCGTGCGGACAATGTAAAGTCTGGCTTAGCGTGTTAGGGGGTTTAGAGTTTAATGTTAGATAAGTGTTTTGTTTGCAATTTTGATTAATAAAGACAGAAAGTCTTATGACACTGACAAGGAACACAATTAAATTATAATATTTTTAATTCTTGTTTAGGTTCTAGCTTATAGTTTTGAACCAGTTACCCAGAAGCATTTTTTTTATCTGATACCTTGGGTCATGCTAAATTCGACTGACTAAATTTAAACTATTTTGAGTTGTGAAATTGTTTTCAAACTTCTCCCAGAGCTTTTATAAAATCTTCAGTTTTTTGAGAAAGATCATCCTCAGGGGGATTTCTATCAGTGTGTCTACTGAAGCATGTCCAGTCAAGAGAATTTGTAGTCAATGTCTAGTGCTGATCAGATGTTGCAGGAAGCAACTGAACTCAATTTGTGTCATAGTCAGGGGTCCGCAAACTTCATTTAAAGAGCATGTGATAGAGAGTTTGATCCATTATTTCAAAAGTGTATTTAAATCAACCGAGTTATCATCAGTCTCTAAGAGTTGTGAATTGAGTAGTTTAGCTTGTCATCTTACAGTAAGTGATGTGTTCCTGGATTATAGTATGTCACTGCTTACAGGTTAGCAAACTTCACTTCCATGTTGTGTTATGTTTGTTTCTGAGGACATGATCTCTCTGAAGCATTGCCTTAATTTCAGAATCATACTGATGTATCTCACAGAAGCAGTTTCCATAGCGATTATGGATAAAAAGTCAGTCTATTTTAGGCTTGAGCGATTGGCCATTCATCGGTAAGATTGATATATCACAGCTGGCTCCTGAAATGAGCTAAACTCCTGTGCTCGATTGGACCAGTGTTCTAGTCTCATTAGCATAGCTGGATATAAAGCCAAATGACTTTCAACAGTTCATTTGTCTGTGTAAATTAATAATAAATGAACTAACAACGTGTATGAATTTATTGCAGCGTTTGATGTGTAAAATAAGCATATTTGATCTGAATAAGAGCACAGCATGCTGCACATGCAACAGATCAACAAAGAAATAAATACTTCAAAAGTGACAAAAAATAATTATATTTTCAAAGTTCTTTTGAACTTTGACTTTTCAAAGAATCCTGAAATGTATCTCAGTTTTCGCAAAAATATTAAGCTGCACTACTGTTTTCAACATTGAAAATAATAACAAATTTTACGTTTTCCAAAATCAGCATATTAGAGTCTGATTCTGAAGGATTGTGTGACACTGAAGACTGAAATTCAGATTAGCCATCACAGGAATATAAAAAAAATTACAATGACATCTTAAATATTATATTAAAATAGAAAAAAGTTATTTTACATAGTAATACTATTTCACAATATTACTGTTTTTGCTGTATTTTTGTAACCGAAAAATAGCATAAAAAACTGAAAACTAAAAAACAACTAATTATAATGTTACCCATGTTTTTCGGCACCATTATTTAATTTGTATACATTTTTGTGTAATAATAAAAATAATAATAATAATTTCGTTTTAAATTGCCTTTTTTCCTACTGTACTTTTAAAACTTTAAATCTCTAGATATATCTTTTATTTCCTCATTAGTTTATTAATTTGGCAAATCAAGTTTCTAGACACAAATGTGATTCAATGGTTGTGATTTCATAAGCCGTTTTTAAAGCTCAATAACAGGTCTTTTTGGATTTTAAAAGCTTTAGATATTTTTGGAAATAAAACTTTTCTTGTTTTCTACTTAGTGGTATTTTCTATTTGTTCTAGTGTTCACGAGGTTTTGTAAGAAATGTGACGTTGAGAAGATAATAAAGTTGTTATTGAGTTATAGAGAGCATGCAGCGTTTCTCTGTAGACCTCATTAGGCTGTGGACTGGTGCTGGAAGACTCTGGAGATCTGATTAAAGCACACCAGATTAAAACGGGTTAAATGAAGACCTGTGAATCTATCATACATACATTCAGTATTTTTAACAATGAGAGAAAAGTATTTTTTTTGGAAGCCTGTAGCTCTATCATGTATTGTTTGTCAAATTGAGTCTTTTGACTGTGTGATGTTTATTGTATAACTGTAGAAAGATTTGATCATTACTGTGGAAATATTCACACTGAATTTTTCACCACAGTTGGCTCAGATCCATCAGGAATATGGTTTGCAACACAAGGTGTCTGGCGGTATGAATATTTAGACATGAAAACCTCTACATTTTTAAAAGATTTATGTCCTTCTTTATGTAAGATCTCTGAGGACAAGTTCATACATTCTCAAGGTCTTGTTTACCAACAAGTGATACACACATACAAGTGCGTACTGCAGGGAAGTTGTCTTCTGTTGTCACGTCTTGTCATCATCATTGTGTGCTTTGCCCAGGGCCTCTGTCACATTGACACCTCTACACTTTCAAACACAATAGATGAGTCTCGCAAAACCTGTCAAGAACATGTCTGGGTCATATTTCACCCCAAAACGAATTATGCTTTGCATAAAGAAACATATTTTTTGTACTGTGACATTTTCTTGACAATAAAATACATCCCTCCCATTTCTCATCTTCTCAAATCAATTGTGAAGAATTTATACATCATGCTTGTAAATGTTGTAATGCTTTTTAATATATGCAGATTTTTTTTTACTTTAATACATAATAAATACTATATTACATTCAAGAGAAAGTAATAAGAATCATTGAGGATAATGAGAACTACAAAGAGCTGTAAACTGTATTTAATTGTCACGATGTCAACGTCAAAATGCAACAGGCAAAAAAGGTTTTCTTTATGCAAAATATATTGTGCGTATTATTCTTATTTTCTTTTGATTTCTTTTGGGGTGAAATGTGACCTGGACATGTTTTTGTCAGATTCACCAAACTGAATTATTCATGCTTGAGTTTGTGTATTTGCATGACTGTGGGTGTGTGAGAGGAAGGGAACGAGAACAAAAATATTTAAACTCTTTACCCAGCCAAAAGCAACAAAGACAAAGAAAGAAAGAGTCTGTGTATGATTCTTATTTTCTCCTTTACTCTGTTTATTGCTACAGACCAAATTAACTTTTGCTCAAATTAATGTAAATTTTTCTAAAGACCAGTTTAACTTTTGCTCAAATGTAGTTAATGTTAAAAAAAAAAAAAATTTATATAAATATATATAAAAAAAAGTTTTAAATTTGTTTTTTGAAAATTACCTATTGTTTTGCTAGATAAGACCCTATTCCTCGGCTTGGATCGTGTAGAGCCCTTTGAATCTACATTAAACTGCAATTTGGACTTTCAACCCGTTGGCCACCATTGAAGTCCATTATATGGAGAAAAATCCTGGAATGTTTTCCTCAGAAACCTTAATTTGTTTTGCGACCAAAGACAGAAAGACATGAACATCTTGGATGACATGGGGGTGAGTAAATTATCAGGATTTTTTTATTCTGGTGAAGTGAAGTTAACTAGGTGGGTGGAGTCCACGTATTTGTGGATTGTCAGCACGTCTTGACGCAAGAAATGTTTCACAATTCGCAAATGCACAGGACGGGATTCACAAATGCGTGCAGCTATCTACAAATGCACAGGACGCGATTCACAAATAAATGCCAGGCAAAGTTGTGGTTGTGACATAAATATATATTTGTGAATATGTTTTTTATTTGCAAATCTCATTTTATTTATTTGTGAATTTAATTCATGTTTGTGAAACTTTAAGATTTATTTGTGGATCTCATTCTATTTATTTGTGGATCATAATCTATTTAATTGGAATTAAGCAACAATTCTACCCCCATAACACCAACAGGAACGAGAGCACTTGACGATGAATTAAATTAAATACGCTGTGTTTTCCGCCAACTGGCAACCCGGGGTCCCGAAATACAATTGGGTAAACTGGCAGTTGGTGGGTTTCACAAATCAAAACAGAGACCGCTGTGTTTTCCGCCAACGCACATTTTCAAAGGAGAATAACTGACTGTAGCATTGTTTGTCAGATAAACAAGTATGTTAACTTAGCATGTTTCTTAAATATCTGCTTTAGTAGATTTTTATGCTTTAGTAGAGTCAAAAACTTACATACAGCACCTTTAAACTTACCGTTTGATATTTTATTTTTTATTTTTGAGAAGGCTCAGTTTTATAGACGCTTCCTTCTGTTTTCAGTTGATAGCATCATGTGATATAATAAAGTGTATTAGTTTTACCTCATTTCTTCTCCTGACCCATAAAGTTAAGTAAGAAGCATTACAGCTTATCCCTATTTCAATATGTTTGCATGATTTGATGGCCAGTTTTACAGACACATTTTCATTTGATATCACCTGGTCAAGTCAAGTCAAGTCACCTTTATTTATATAGCGCTTTTAACAATACAGATTCTGTCAAAGCAACTGTACAGCATTAATTATGAAAATAGTGTCAATAATGCAAAAACCTGGTCTAGTGTTTCTGAATGTCCATTATGAGCCGCTTGAAGATTAGAACTGTTATACCTTTAATAATGCATCATATCATGAACAAGATGAACAATTATCCATGCATGAATCATACTCCCTTAGAATGCGACAGTTCCATCACTGATTTTAATGCATAATTTTTCATAACACTTCTCATTTGCTCATTTGCATAAAATTAAACTTATCGATTGTGGTGGAAAACTGTCTAACAGCTAAAGCATAGCATGATGTCAGCATGCTAATTATCGCACCAATGCCAAAATATGTATTAAAATACACACACACACACACACACACACACACACATA